TGGTGGTGTTTTGATTTTTTTCCCTTACCTCTTCCTGGAGACAAAGGAAACCATCTTTCTTCAAACTTAGGGTAAGGTTCATGTTGTGTTATCTGCTCTTGATTGCCATCTTAAATTAATTCACCAAGCTTTACTTGGGGCCAGGATCCTAGTCATTCTTTGTGCTGTACAAATGTCCTATAAACCTTTTATTGTTAGTTGAAACTGATTTATGAGGTCCTGACCTAGGAATATACTTCTGTGGCTATATTTTTTTTATACAATTTTCTCCTGTGTCTTTAGGCAGGCATTTCCTTTATAGTAAACTCATTTGGTGCTTTGCCTATATCTTGCTTAGTGTCAAAAACACTTGTCTTGTTTGCTGTGTCTGTTTTCTTGCACATAATAGCAGGGAATATTAAATAGATGCTGTTATTTGTAATTGTGATGACTTCAACACAAAATATTAAAACTTTACAACAGCTGTGTGAGCTTATCCAGGGAAGGGAGCAGTGTTAAGCTGTCATTTGTTTTGTAGAGAGTAGGTATGCACAAAATAAACAGTCTTGGCATTGTTGAGGGGATGGTAATCTGTCCGGTGTGTTGAGATTTGGAAAAGGCATTCTAACCAGCAGTGCCAGCAATGAAGAAAGACTGTGCTGCAGTCAGAGGAAGGTAATCATTAATAGGAGCCAACCTCTATAGTAACAATGCAGAGAGAGTGAAAGCACCTGGGTGCTTCCCCTGGAAAGATTAACTAGTGAACTTGTACTAACACATAGCTGTACACCTGAAATGTGGCTCTTGTATTCCAGTTCTTTCTTAGCCTTTTGTGCCTGTTGCCTCCTTCTTTTGTGTAGCAATACATAAGTGGTGGTACAGAGATACCACAGCTCTGCCTCCTGTTTATGGACAGTTTTCTTGAGTGCGTGCCTGGGTAGGGATGAAAAAAGCTAATGCTGTTTGTGCTATGCTTGCAGGAAGTCCTACCAGTGACAGAAGGATAAGAGAATAAAGGCTAGTGGAGAAAAGGGTATGTCCGTCTCTGTGGTCAAAAGCACTTGCAGCTATGTGTGTTGTGGCTTGGCACAATTTTATAAGAAGGGACTGTCCTGAAGTTTCTTGGGTTGAAGTTTGTTTTTTTTAAATTCTCTAGGTCTTCCCATTTCTTCTGTGTATTGAGGTCCCATTCAAAGTCTGTTAAAGCCAGTGGCAGTAAGTGGATTTTGAATCAGGCCCTGTACACAGGCTGTGTGTTCTGTGATGGCACGGCGGCTGCGTCAGCTCCTGCCGGTGTGGCGTTCTCCAGGGCTGGCTTGGGCTGCTGTGCAGGCAGAGTGCTGACTCAGCACCTCAGCCCAGGGTCTCCCTTTGCTTTCTCCTGCGCCTCTGAGAGCCAGGGGGGTGCTACAGGTATATGGACACTGTGATCCCTGACTTGGTGTCCTGTGGCTTAAAGCACTTCATCTGTGTGGGGCTGCTGAAGGCTGTTGTGCTGGGAAGTAGCTTGAGTCACAAATGGGGGGACATGAGGGAACTCAGTAAACAAGTTTCTCAACTGGATGCAAAAAAAAAAAAAAAAAAACAAAAAAAACAACCCTGGGGTTCCAGGGTAAGTATTTTACGAAATAATGAACTCTGAAGATTTTAATTTCCTTTCAGAAAAGCAGTCTTTATCTTCCAATTCATGAAGTTGCTGAAGATCCCTAAATATTATAAAACACAATTAGCAATTTTTGTTATACTTAGATGTTACATATAATACCACACTAGCATTAACTGGAAAGAACAAAACCTGTTATTTCAGATTCTGCTATTTAAATTCTTCAATTTCTTGCTAGCATTGAAATAGGGCTGCACAGTTCTCCTTTTGTGGTTTTTTTTTTTCTTTCTGTTTTATTTATTTATTGTCTCTTGGTGGTGGGGAGGTTATATCCTAACCAACATAAAAAGAAAAAGGTATTGCTGTGTTAAGAAAAATGGAAATATTTTTCCCCAGAAACTTCACATTTAGATAAAGACTTAGCTTTACATAATTGACATTTTAAATATCTTTTTTTTTAATAAGCAGTGAAAAGTCTGTGGACTTCACCATGCAAAGACTTATGTCCATGATTAATTTTCCATGTATGTATAGTTTCCTGAGTTCACATGCATGCACGAGGCTCTCTGGGGTCACAGTAGTCCTGCTTGGAAGTGTTTGTTCTTGGCTATGATGATGAGCTGCTGCAACTCCACACAGGGCTGAAATATGAAGAAAAGTGTTTGTGAAATGCAGTTTTCTAGCAGTTACTAGCGTTATGTTTTGTGAAAGCAACTGTAATTACTGTTTCAAGGCTATCCTGTGCTTCTAACCTTGAGAACACTTTGAGCTATGTTTTTTAAGTTTGACTTGCTTGCGTTGGAGATGGGTTTGGCTCAAGATCTTTTGGTTGGAGCAAATTGAGTACAATTTTCTTTTAACCATATAACAAAGAATAGGTACCAATTGCATGCCAAACAATTTCTCCCCTCAGAGATTACAAATAAATTTAGAAAAGAACAAAGCCAGGGTTTCTAGTGTTTAACTTCTTGAGAATCGTCTTGGTTTTGGCACGTTAAAAAGAAAAGTGCGTCACAAGTCAAGTTGGCACCTAATACTGTCAGTAATACTAATTTCCACATCATTAATTTTAACTGACACTGCTTCAGTCTTTCTCTTACCACAAATTTATTTCATTAAAAAAATTGGAACTCTTTTCATTTATTTCTGTATTCTCTTCAGCTCTAGCAAGAACAGGTTCTTGTCCCCCTTCAGGAAATGGATAGGAAGAGAAGTTAAAAGACATTCATGTAGCAGCTGCCAGAATGGCAGATATCCTTGGAAGGAGAAAATTTATTTTCTTGAGATCAAGCCAGCAAAATGCCACTTTTGCCCAACATTTGGAGGCAAGCAGTAGTATGGGGAGTGAGTATGGCTGTACCAAGGACTTGTTTGTTAGAACTGTTTTAAAAGAAATACCTTAGTTTTTCTTCTTTACCCTCTTCAAGTATAAATCAGGATACAAAACCATATTGTTCATGTAGCCTCAAAACTAATTTTCCTTCTTTCCAGTTGGGCTCTTTCTTCAGAAGTGATTTGTTCTGAGACCAAAGTAATTGCAACATTCAAGACTTGAGAAGCAATCGTGGTGTAAAATACAATCAGCCTTAGGGAGGAGGAATGATAGTTGTTGCTCAGCTATTTTTTTCTCTTTGGAGGCCCTT